CCGCTCTTTCAAGTTCGCCCCAATTGATCAAACCACCTATCATCGCGTTCCAAGTGACCGGATTCCTCTCAGGCATTCCGTCGAACACTTTCCACGCATCAACTGTGTTTCCAGCAGCAACGTAAAAATCAACCAAAGCTGTTTGCACGTAGACGTGAGATCCGAAACCCAGCTTCATCGTCGCACCTTGAATCCCAATACCCAGTTCAAATATCCGCGAATTCGCACTCGCTTTCAAGAGAAAAGAGAATGTGAAACTATCAAAAGGAGGTAGCTTTCCGTGGATGACGGAAAGAAAATGGAGCTGTTGGAGTTGCCTGTAGAGTGAGTAAGCCTGAAGAGAAGATTTCCCAAGAGAATAACACCGAAGAAGTGAATTGAAAAAGAGAAGCCTTCCATCGTTTTCTTGCCGGAGTAGAAACCCAGCAGTGACCAAACGAGAGTGAATCTGCTGGATAATTCTGTCGTTGGTCTCATTCTTGTGAAAAAGAGACAGAATCTGCATAACATTTTCGAAATTCTCTCCCTCATTATCTCCAATGTCTCCGGAAGAAAGCGAAGAAGAACACGAAGACCAAAAACAGTGTCTGATAGTGTAAGGACGTAGAGATGTTCTAGAGGAGTAAAGAGGGAATTTTTTCGCAATCAGCATAACTCTCCCAAACATCCAATCATTTTCACCGTCAAACGGAGAATTCCATGGCCATCGTCGGAATTCAACCTCGGGTTTGAGTTTCAGTCTGCATCGCTCGAAGAGTGTCGGAGTACGGTGAGCCAATACACAGCCTTAAACAAATCGAACAACTGAACCAGAGCAACATTTTTACAAAATGAACAATATTTTTTAATTAAAAATCAAAACCAAACCTAAACCCTAAACCAGAACCATACCGGACAAATGTCTAGAAGTATTGGTTTTAATTTGGTTTGGTTTTTCCAAAACCCAATAAAATTTAAAAAATCGAGTTAAACCGACAATGGATTCTATTTGTGCTGTTTTAAACCCTTTGGATTATGAGAGCTTACCAATATTTTTTTTAAGCCTTTGGATTAATTATAACCGGAATTTTAATCTCAGTGAAATCTGATAAATTATAACTTTATGTTAAAATGGTAGTTAGATTAACACTACGTTAAAATTAGAATAATATGTAGTCCAGTTATTGTGTTCTGGAATAGTGTTGTTATATAATCTCAAGGAATTTTATAAAAAAAAATATATTCATGTAGGCTTGTATATTTTGTAATAAGCAAAATATTCAATAGATATTGATGATGTTATTTGAATCTAAATGACAGCAAGAGTAACAATATAACGAAAATTTTAAATATTTAGCAAAAATAAAACAGATCAATGAACCATAATTAAGAACCTTCTTCAAAAATGATTTTGCTTCCTGTGCACATGGAATTTATATAATTTATGAAATTTAGGGAAAGGGGATAAAAAGGTCCAAGTCTATGGTTTTCTATTGTTTTAGGGATATTATTTTATTTGTAAAAAATGAAAGATTAGGGGTCTTAGCGAGAGAAATATAAATATTAGGGGTTTTTATGTAAAATTCCTCCACTAAAATTAACTATCACACACTCTCTCCGGGGGTTTTAACCCTAATAACCCACTTGGGTCGCAGCAATTTCAGGGTACACCACCGAAAAAAAAAAAAAATTTGCGACCTTATTACGACTAATATATAACTAATATACAACTAAAATAAGAGTAGTTTATTAGTCGTAATAGGTTGTATATTAGTTATATATTAGTCGTAATAAGGTCGCAATTTTTTTTTTTTTCGGTGGTGTACACTGAAATTGCTGCGACCCAAGTGGGTTATTTGAGTAATATTCCCCTCTCTCCGCACCAGTAAGTTTTCCATTCATGGCTACCAATCTCCGTCTGCCTCCCGTCTGTGACTTCCATCCTCCGGCGACGAAATACCCAAAACGCACCCGGAGAATCTCCCTAATTACAGCTTTGCCACTAGCCTCTTCTTCTTCTCGTACTATATTCATCCGGAGAAACGAAACGTCGTCGTCGTTGACGACTACGACGATTAATGCTCTTACGGATGAAGCGAGGGAGTTGCCGGATTTAGGATCTCTCTATGATTCTCGGGATGCCCCTTTGTCTTCAAAGCTGGTTCTTGTTGTCGGCGGCACTGGTGGTGTAGGTACAATGCTCTCTATGGAAATTTTTCTGAAATTTGTGTCGTGCAATTTGGATTTTGGGTGATGGATGTCTTGTATGTGACTTGCTATGCGTGAGTATAGACGGGCGTAGATGAGGACACGAAACCGTGACTGAAGGGAGAAGATTAGGATGATTAAGGGACAGTGGGCACTGAATTTCTTACAATCACGAAGTTTATCTCTTGTTCGTTGCCACTTGTGTAATGGATCGTCGAGAGTGTGTTAATGCTTACATGTATGACAAAACGTTTGGATTCTCAGTCCTCTAGTTTCAATTTGGTTGGCTTGTAGCTTAGTTCAGTTCTCCTGTTGTTTAACTTTTATTCTCCTCCAATACCAAATGGTTGGTCTCATGATCAATCCAAAAGGTGGTCTAATTAGATTCTATTCAGTTCTTACCAAATCTTGGTTCGGGTTAGGAAAATTCGAACTGAGCTGAAAGTCATGGATGTTCGGTCTGGGTTGGGAGTGTTCGTTTGGTTTTGGGGTCAGCTGAGCTCAGTTTGGTATTGCATTTTGTTTGGTTTGGCTTTGCTTGGTGTTTGGGTTATTGCCTTAGGCTTGGTAAGGGTAAGTGAAAACCAAACTGAATGAAATCATACTATGTTTGTTTGGTTTTTTTTATTGGTCCAGTACCACTTGCGTTGATGAAAGCTGGACCAAATTGAAATGATTTGCGCAACCCATTACCAATCTCACTTCTTTGAATCGGGCACGTATGATATTTGTTGTGAGATGGTTTTTTCTAATGGATGAGGATTCTAATGTTTTCATATGCTAGTTCTGTGACAGAATAACTTTCTTCAACGTATGGAGTCTAATGTACGCCAAAGTATTATTGTCTTATTTCTTTAGCACTTTGCTTTCTTATAATGGTTATCTACTTATCTATAACTTGAAAGATGGATAAATGTGCTTCTAGATCCAAATAGATTATAATGTACGTTCAGCCTTCATGAAAGACCAAGGCTTTTTTTTTTCCGAGTATTCTTGGAATTTGTTGCCTGAGCGAGATTTCATTTTTATTATCAGGACAACTGGTGGTAGCATCATTGCTCAAAAGAAACATTAAAATGCGATTATTGCTGCGTGATCCTGAGAAAGCCACTATGTTATTTGGTGATCAGGACGAGAATTTGCTACAGGTTCTGATATTATTGTCTACCTTATGGATTGATTTATTTGCCTGTAAAGGTGCAAATGAATTTACTGTATCTTAAGTACTTCTTGAAATGTTATAGGTACGCAAAGGGGATACTAGGAACCTGGAGGATCTCGATCCATCGATGTTTGAGGTTTTTATTCTTCCTTTTTTCATGCTGGAAATCTTCCACAGCTTTAGTCATAAGACAACAGTTTCCATTGGTTATCGGATGTAGTGATTTAAGAGTTTGTGTTTCAATGTTACACAATCATTGGTTTGTCGTGGTTATAAAAATCATGTAGGCTGTCACACATGTGATTTGTTGCACCGGGACTACAGCTTTTCCATCAAAGAGGTGGACTGGAGAAAACACGCCTGAAAGAGTAGGTAAGAACATTTTGTTTCAAGTAACGACCTGCGGATCCTTTATTACTTCATCTTTAAGTTTAAAACGTTCAACAACATTCCAAATCTTTTTTTCTTAGAAATTCTTTCTTTTTATCTCATTTGCATTCAGCTATGTGGAATTATCCTACAAGGTCCTTAGATATATATATCCCATACGTGCTGCGTGGTACTGCAGTCTGTGAATATTTCGCATACATCAAAGTATTGTTGTCCTTTCCTGTCAGTCTCATTTGTTGCTTGGTTTCTTTTTGTAAAGACTGGGATGGCGTGAGAAATCTCATCTCAGGGTTGCCCATATCGGTGAAGAGAGTGGTTCTTGTTTCGTCTATCGGTGTGACCAAATTTAATGAACTCCCTTGGAGGTGGGACTAAACAAATGCCAAAACTATACTATACTATGATGTTATTGTTTGTGTTTATAATATCTAGTGATTTATTTTTTATGTTGAAGAACCTGGAGCTATTTATTGTTTCCACAGCATCATGAACCTTTTTGGTGTTCTCAAGTACAAGAAGATGGGGGAAGATTATCTTCGGGATTCCGGTATACCATTTACGATCATCAGGTTCGATGTTACATAACCAATTGATATCTCTTGATTTGTTCAAAAATGTTTAAAGATAATGTATACTGAGGTTTGGTTTTGATATGTTTACCAGAGCTGGTAGATTGACTGATGGGCCTTACACATCATATGATCTGAATACTTTGCTCAAAGCCACAGCTGGTGAACGTCGTGCAGTTATAATAGGTCAAGGTACGTGTGTTCTTCTGAAAATTCTTGGATGGTTTTGTTATGCTTTCTTTACCTTTTGATAAAATCAGAATCACTCGTGTTAATGTGTTGTTTTGTTTATGAATCTCCGTTTTCTCATTCATCTGTTTGTAAGTCTGCTCACAGGAGACAAGCTTGTAGGAGAGGTAAGCCGGCTCGTGGTGGCCGAAGCTTGCATACAAGCACTTGATATTGACTGCACCGAAGGCAAGGTTTACGAGATAAATTCCGTTAAGGTAATATAACACATTTATACATAACATGTAAAGACATATAGGATTTTGAAATCAAAATGATTAAATTAACAAAGTAGAAACCTAAGCAATCAAGTTTCTTCTAAACAACTTCACTGTTTGCTTTGATGTTTTTGCATCTGGACAACCACCTGCACCAAATAATGAGACCTCTCTTGAGGATTGACCATATGCAACAGAAGTTGACTAATTCTTACGTTTGCTTTTGTGATAGAACCCGGGATCGGATTCTATCAGAAGTACTATCAGTTCCTTGAGAGACGAGCTAATTTCCGAACTTTTGGTATTTTGAGGAACCAGAAAACCTCCAAACTCGATTTAACTTTTTTGAACCCTAATGTTTAGACAACATATATATATATATATATATATATATATATATATTTACTAGAAGCATGAAACCAGAATAAGGTAACTCTACTTTATTCTAACAAAGTAGACCTAACAAGTAAAGAAATCAAACCAAAGCTAACTAAACCTCTGTTAAGCTGTGTCTATCAGCTTGTTTCGCCTGATAAGTGATTCTTCCAGTTCTATCACACATTAGCATCAATCATGATTGATGTTGTTAGAACCCATTCTTGTCTGACGCTGTTAGAGTCTGATCGAGATCCATATTTGTGTTTGATATGGGAGTTGAGGTCACTGTCTGTTATGAATATGATTAATATTTCAGAGAATTCTCTACAGTCCTAAAAACCGTTTGTAATTTGATAAGCCTCCGGATTGTTTGACGTACTTTGGGAGATGTTTAGAGGGAGGATAAGGCCGAGGTCGAGTAATCTACATGTGTTTTCCGAGTCTTTGTTCTTTGTCTTGTGTCAGTTTGGGTTTTCTATTCGATCTAACCCTATATAAGGGCAGGTTTCGATCTATTTGGAAATCAACGAAAACCCGATAAAATCCATCGGATTCTATGAAAATGTTAAAGACTGTGTTGTTAGATTTTGGCTGAGTTTGAGAAACTGGTTGCAGGGGGATGGTCCGGGAAGTGATCAGCAGAAGTGGATGGAGTTGTTTAAAGCTGCAGAACCCAAATGAGACCGAACGCAAATCGTTTGTTACATTGGTTCCAGTTTAAAAGGGGAACTAGTTGGAGAGCTCTGTCGTCTAGGAAGACCAAAAAAAAAAAATTGTATATTGTTGTAAAGGGAAAAAAAATACACGAATTCGTGACATATCTGTTTATATATTACAATAAATAAATCAATGAATGAATGAATGAAATGTTTAAATGTTTCGTCGTATTATTTATGGTAACAAATTAATTTGCAAGTTGGCTTTCATTTATGGGTTTGTCTCTATGAACACGACAAACCCCGTACTTTTTAAGCCTAAAGGTTCATTCCATTAAAGTTACGCACAAATAAAATTAAATAAAATTAGAAATATAATGAGAGATCATTGGAGAGGGTTTTCTACAAACACGTTCTTTAAAATAAAAAAAAATCACTCCAATAAGCAAAATTTCATGATAACTCCATTCTCTCTCTAGAAAATATACCCTTTCTTTCTCTCACTATAAACTCTGTCACCTGGTTCGCAGGGGCATTTTACTCACATAACTCAGTAGCGTCGCATCAATTTCACGGTACACCTCCGAAAAACAGAAGGTATTAAATTTTCTTGGAAAGACAATAATACACTTAATGAATCCGTATAATTTGTTCGGTCGAAAACAATTTTATTATTGCGACTTCGTAATTAATTCTAAATATAGTTGCAATTGATTCTAAATAAGATGACAAAAAATTCATTGTCAAATTTTAAAAATAACTAAGTTTCTTTTGTGACTCTCATATTCATACTATAATAACTATTTCTTATTTTTTTAGTTGTATATCAGTTATACGTTAGGTTAGTCGTAACAAAGTCGCAAAAAAGAAAAAAAAAATGATATTTCGGATATTTTCAACTGAAAAGTCGTATAAAAGTTAAAATTTTTTTTTGACTTTTTACCTGGTGTACAGCGAAATTGGTGCGACAAGGTTGGGTCATTTTGAGTAAAATTCCCGGTTCGCAGCCGAAGATTCATCCGAAATCGGGTCGAGTCGTCGTCTTCCCACCGCCGCAAAGCCTCGTTAGTCTCGCCTTCTGGCGCGTTAATCCTCAGTCCGGAACCGGATTTAGCTCGGAATTTCTCCGAAACTGTGAGCGGAAAGTGGGAAACAAACAAAAAGAGAAAAAAATCGAACAGACCCGTACCGGCTTTTGTTTTCGGCGTCGGAGATAGATTCTCCGGCGGGATTCCAGGAGGTGTGTTTGAATTCGAATCCTAACGCTATCGCCGCTGTTGTTTCCGAATCCTAAGGCAATTTAAACGCGAGTTATCTTGTCTTTGTGACTATAGATTAGCGTTTCCCACGAAACTCTTGCTTTTTGTATCTCGCTGAATCTGATACGTACATCTCAGCGCTGAATTTCCCCTAGTTCGAACTGCTGTTTCAAGGGATGCTTTTGCGATTTAGAGATTAAGAGGGCTTTAGGGGCCTGTTCGGATTTCAGTATTGTTTTTGTGCCGTGGATCTGTTATTTTCTTTGTTCAGTCTTGTCAATCGATGCTTTTCGTTCTTGTAGGTCTCTGGCTGCCCAACGTTCTGCTTAGTGTGGTGGGTCCCTCAAGTGAAGAGGAGAGTGGCAGCTAATGTAATGATCTGAACTGTAGCTTCACTCGAACTGGTGTTTCCATGTATTGTTGATGAAGATTAGGTGTTCGGATATTTCACGTGCTCCTTTAATTTGGGATCAATCTTTATTGTCGTCAAATTATGTCTGTGATTATGTTTTCCCCGTAAAGTCTCTTTGATTGCCCTTCTTCTGCTGAAAAATGTATGGTACTGATAAGTTTGGCTTTCATTGTTGATTTGATTTGTATTCCGTGGTATTTGAAAGAATTGAGACACTGGTAAGCATCTGGATATCTTTTCTTTGTTCTTCGTTCCCGTCTATCTGCAAATCAAAATGGTAAACATTTTCACACCTTACACCTTGTTCTTTTTTTTCTTCTTCTCCATGTTCTTAGTCTAATTGAGAGACCAGTGGAGAGGATAGCAGTTGGGATTGACTGCAAAAACTTTTTGGGTTGAAGCTCTATTGCTTACATAAATTGCTTGCAACTGAGAAGATGGCTTTCTTTAGGAATTACTCAAATGATGCTATTTCACGTAGTGTTCTGAATGAAAAAGAGGAACAGGAGAACGCTGATACATTTCAGAGGTCTGCAGTGAATGAAGAAGTAGGTTGTTCTCATAGTGAGAGGGGTTTTGGCATAAACATGGGTGTGCAGTATCAAAGTGATGCTGATCTAGAGTGTAGTGATAGGCTGCAAAACGGGGTGACATCTGATAATGTTGTTGGCCATGAGGATTCCAATTTTCAAGCCTCGGGTAGGAGAACAAGTATATCTGGAAAACGGGATTCGACATTTTGGAAGGACTGTCAGCCTATGGGACAGAGAGGTGGCTCTGATTATGTCCAAGATTCATAATATGATTACAAAGATGCAGACAATTTTGAAGATAATCAATCAAACGAACCCAATGATAGATTCGTATATGAAAATGAGGATCAAAAAGTAGTGGATAAGCATGAGAGGGGCCAAACTGATGTTCCAGCTGATGAGATGTTGTCTGATGAATATTATGAACAAGATGACGAAAATCAAAGTGATCTTGTGCACTACTTAGGTTTCAACCATCCTACGAATTCTAGATCACTGCCGAAGCCCGCAGCTGCTAGTAATAGCAAGTCAAGGTCTTCAAGAGCAGTGTGCAGAAACATTGATGATGATGACGACGACGATTATGGCAACAATGATGATGCCAGTGCCGATTACGAAGAAGTGGAAGATGGTAACTTAAAATTGTTTTCCTGCTGATATTTCGTTGTACTTTTTGTGGGTAAATAGCAGCTGAACCTTGCCAAGTACTTCTTTTATGCTTCAGTTATGTTATCTTTTTTTTTAAACAGAGGAAGACCTTGAGGATGATGATTTTGAGCCTGATGATGCCGTAGCAGGTGCTAATGCAGGGAAAAAGGTCTGAATTGTGGAATTCTGATTGCTAGATGAAATATTTGTCATGCGGGGTTTCATATTACCGAAATATAAAACACATGGAGAAACGATGTCTGGATTGTTTTTTCTCTGGATTGTTTTTAAAAAGCATGCTTGAATGGAGGCAAACTTAAGGACAATTAACCTGTTGTGTTCTGATGTATAGCTCCTTATTTCCCATTTTCTGGGGTTTTTCTTAATGGCTTTTTTGCGTGGTTATGTATAGCATGACCAATATTGGGAAGGTTCTGGCAAAGATGATGAGAGTGATGAAGATGTCATTGTCTCAGATGAGGATGATTATTATTATACGAAGAAACCTAAGATTAGACAACCAGCTAAAGGAATTCGTAAATTAAATTCTAGTCGTGAGCGGATGTCGTCCCAAGCTTGCAGTCGGCAAAAGAAGAAACAACTACATGAAGAGGACTACTCAGCAGAGGACTTTGATGATAAGAGTGTTGAGGATTTTAAAAGCATTATTACCAGAAGAGGCACAGTTCTCCGAAAAACCAATGGAAAGCCCACCAACAATTTAGGACAAAGTAGTGAAGTCCGCACCTCTACTTCGTAAAGTGTCTTATGTGGAGAGTGAGGACAGTGAAGATGTTGATGATGGAAAGATGAAAAAAGACCCAAAAGGTACCATATACTCGCTGTGCTGTCAAGGTTATGATTGTTCCCACCTTTTATAACTTATGTTTCCTCGTGGGAAGCTTGGGAAATTGAATTGGGTTAGTTGGTAGGGTGAACTGATAACGTGGGCCTTTAATTGCATTCTCTTGTTGTAACTGTTTTTCTGCTTAAGGTATAATCTTTATTTTTGCGTCTTGGAAACGATGTAGATGTTAATTTACTATGCATATTATCCTTCTTGATGGTCTGCAACCAGATGAATGATAAAGTTAGAATTAACAAGAGCCCAAAATTCTTTGTCTGGTGTGTGCTTTTGTTTCTGGAGCAGTTTTGATTACTTTTCAATGTTTCTTATTATCGGGATGACAAATTAAAAAAAATACTATGCTGTAGAGTAAGATGTATTTATCCTTTGACTGGTCTGTGGTGTTTTGGTCAGTATGTACTTCACCTTCTGATTTGAAAAGGCTGGTCATGTTATGGTAACATAAACTGGATATTTTTCTTGTAGAGTAAGAGATAGGAGGAAAATTTGCATAATTTGTGACCCTGAATACTGTCATCTTTATCATTCCTCATACCCTTTTAATCTTGATTGGAGATAACTAAGCCCTTTGTCATACTTCTTTCTTGGGTTTTCTGCTTATATCATTTGCTAATACCTCTATAAATGGCTTCACAACAGAATTTAACTAAATACAATGCAATTACTGGAAAATAGATGGCCAATGGTTCTCATTTCTCAATGTATCTCATAACATTAAGTTCTGAGGGGCATCATCTGATGCATGAAAATTATTATGTGCAATCGAAAAGCTACACAAAGTCCTCGAAAAGAGCCCTTCGCTTGAATTCAATTGGTGTTCCTTCACTACGTCTTTGTTGGTCGGGGTAATTGGAAAAGAATTATTTGTTTAAAAATTTTCTGCCTTGTTTGTGGTTACAAAATTTTCTTCTTCCCCTCTTGTATGACTGAGATTACTGCATGCGGTGGAAAGTTTTATCCCATTGTTCATTTATGATTACCATTTTCATTTATTTGTGTAGTAAGTTTGCGAAAGCTTGACGAGCAGCCTGAGTGGTTAAGGGGAGGGAAGCTTCGTGACTATCAGCTCGAGGGTTTGAACTTCCTTGTTAACAGGTGTGTTCTTATCCCATTTTTGAGAGTTGGTACATTCATCGTTCAATGAAAAGAAGAGAGACCGACTCTCTTGTGAATTGCGTGTGAGGAACCTCAGATTGATGTCTGTTCTGTGTAATGGTCTGTTTTACATCTTGTCACAGCTGGCTTAATGATACTAATGTCATTTATCCGACGAAATGGGCCTAGGAAAAACTGTTCGGTCAGTCTCGATGCTTGGTTTTTTGCAGGTTAGATTCTATCTTTTTTTGGTACTCCTAATCAGTTGAAATTTTGTCCTCTCTTGATGCATTTTCCACTTTTTGGTGGGTTATATTAAGGCATCTCAGC